GTGCTTGAAATCTGAGCGCCTGTTGAGTTAACAGCGGTCTGAGTGGAATTGATCACCTGTGGTGCTGCTACTGCTGGTGTAACGTCATTAACTAATGTTACGTTTGTCTCGGTCAGACGATTTGTTTGTCGGTTCAGTCTCGCATCTCTCGTCGAACTCGTATGCAGGCACAGCAGGCAGCTGATTTCAGCGGGAAAAATACTGTATGTAAGAAGATAACCCCAGTGCATACACTAGCTATCCAGGTCCAAACAGCTAGCAGACAGTTAGCAACTCGCTGGTGAACACAGTGAAGCATTTAGCAGCTAAAGAGCCGGATATTTACCTCAAACAGAGCTAGAGGGAGAGGAGTGATTTTTGCACTTACATTCATCAGGTGGCCGGAAACGAGACTCCAAATGAATGCCAAAGTCCAGCTGGTGAATACCACAGTCCTGCATTAAAATCATAGTATGGAGAGGAAGTATCTGCATGTAGAGTGTGTAAGAGTGAACAAGTATCAGAAGTAAAGGTACTCAGAATGACCCCAATCCGTGTCATCATCATTCATACAGTATTAATGGTTTTTTATTGCTGATGCATTACTGCGTGTTCATTTTACATCATACACAAATAAAGAACTGCTGATGAAAGGAGCTATTTGTACATTTTGCTACATAGCCACTCCTTGGTTAAGCAATATTTAATCAGAAAAATCTCATCCAGATCAAGATTTTAGAACAAATTACACATCCACAAGATCACAACAGAACAACTTTTCAACTGCAGAACAACCATCACACACACACACACACACACACACACACACACACACACACACACACACACACACACACACGGATCACCACACTAATTAAAACAGTCACAAATGTTATTAAAAGTATAGTCTCAGAGCAATGAGTGTCTCTAATTATAAACTCTTTCCCTTTTAAACCAAGTCTCTCCTGTGATCTGGTGTCATGGTTATTAACTTAATGAAATTATTTTTAAAAGCTTCAACCACTTATAACAATGATTAATTAATTACTGGTGATGCTACTATTTTACTATTTCACACACGTGGGTAGAAATCCGTCATTCCCTCTTATCGTTTGTGTGTGTCTGTGTCTGTGTGTGTGTGTGTGTCTGTGTGTGTGTGTGTGTGTGTGTGTGTGTGTTGGTAATCTTGTGACATTGATTTTCCCAGAGAGCAGGTTAGGTATCATCTGAAGGTTGAGGGAGTGTTAAGAAGAATACAGACGACAGTGAGTCACAGCACGCTCGCCGCTAACAGCACATGCGGCCTGTCTGTTGCCTGACACATGAGTTCGAATGCATGTTATTAGCCCAGTTTCAGCGGGGAAGCGTCTCTCGCTCAGTCTGAAGTGTTGTAGTACGAGCTTATAGAAGACATCGTGGAGAGAAGTGTGCTTTGCCTGTAATGCAGTCTACAAAGATCAGGCACCTTTCAACTTAAAAAGCTTAAGCTAAAGTCATGTGTCTCATGAATGAAATGTGTTTTGTCAGATTTTGTAACATGATGTAAAAATGGGTCACCGGCGTCTGAAGATAAAGACGTGTTGGACATGACATTATTTTTAATGTTAAAATGCAAACAAAAGGTGCTGCTAATTATTTATTTGTGGTTTCCATGATGAAACATTTTACACGATAATACTGATAACAATAATAACAATCGTCATATTACATTTTTATATTGTTTCCTGTCTACCTACATGTCAGTGACGTCCTGTTCATGTCACGTGGCGTTTTCTGTGACTATATGTGAAAACTAAAACCTCTTGTTGTCAAACTTTGAATCTTTACATACATTCTTGATCGGGGAGGGCGCTAACTCTTGGCCCCGGGTCCGTCAGCACATACTGTGATTTAATGCCCAAAAAGCTAAACACTGACTAAGTGAGCGAATTAATGTCTCAATGTCTTTGTCCAAATGCAATACTAGCGACTGCAGCCTGAGTCATACAGATAGCACTAACAGAGAGATACAAACGCACATATTCATGTGCATAGACAGATTTCCCTTCAGATTCAGATAAGGGCATGCAGACTGAGAATTACAGACGTGTGCGAGCTAGACAGATGCACAGGATGGAAAATAATATCACTAGTGTAATATCAGCATTTGTTTATTCAGAAAGTAGCACCACGCTGACAGATGTTCTCTCTGTAGATCATATTGTGAGCATATATTTTATAACAGTGAAAAATCCACAGCGTGTAGACGAAACCAACAGGATAACATACAAAAAGATGTGTGTCATTAATTACCGTAAAGAAAGGACAAATTGGATCAGAAGAAGAAGAGAAGAAGAAGAGAGGTGCTGTGTTGAATGAGGACAATGTTCCAATTTGACACAAGCAAGTCAGCCGACAGCCTGACCAATTTTAGTTCTGTCATTTGTAATTATGACAGTTTGTAATATGGGTCAGTGGTAAATATAGATGACCGCACACACTCTGACTCATCATCATGTAAGATTTATGTGTCACAATCACCGGGTCTCACCGAGGCCAGTGTTGCGTGACAGGGTTGAAGTCAACGAAAGCTGTGAATCAAATGTAATCACACCTGTTACGGACCTGACACAGAAGTCTAAAGTCACGAGAGAGCTGTTCAAGGACTCAACAATTTTGCTCCCATCTTCCTGTCATCAACAGATCGTGGGCTGAAATGGATGGGAGACTAATGTTGAAAGATGTGCAGGAGGGAACATCCAGCACAGTGACCTATGGAAAGTAGTGCTGTTGGGGGAACGTTTGAACTATATGTTAGAGTCAAAATGTAAAAACTGATCAAATATAAAATCAATGTGGTGTCAGAATCCAAAAGCAAGGATTTTTTTTTTTTTAGATTTCTTTTTCTTGATCATTTCTAAGAAAAAGTACTGACCTCGAATGTTAAGTTAAGAAAGCTCCCAGTGGGTGCCCGCGCTGCAGTTCTATTTTTATGTGGCCCCTGCGATCTCCACAAAGGTCAAAGGCAGTTAAAAGAATTGAAAGAAGTGATTTTCGGAAACCACAGGTAGAGCAAAACCTTTCATCGCTCATCGCATGTCTCGACCTGGTTTATGCGTTCTGAAGGGAGCGAAGCAAAAATATAGTCACTGCATTCCAACTGTGAACATGAAGTCAGTGTGATTTAACATCCGGCTATTACAGTTGTAGACTAACAAATTTTACCTCTTATTCCGAGTGGTGTCTTGCAGGTAGTTTTGGAGTTTGAACAAACTGTTTTGTTTTTTTTTTTTGGAGATTGTCTAAGAGTTGGCATTCCCCATTAATTAATGTCTGGAAAAATTATACAGAAACTGAACTAGTTTCTTAGTGGCATGGCTCCAGGAATGGCAATTCGATAGTCATGGCCCCCAGAGGAAGAATCCTAATGCCTTTGGTAATCCTCTAACGCTTCATCTAGCACCACCAGTTTGCAGAATATCTCACTATCTAATGGGTGAACATTTTGCACAGAGATTCATGGTCCCCACATGATGTACCCCTGATGATTTGGTGATCCCCGGACATTCCTTCTAGAGCCACCAGGTTCACGTGAGTGGTTGTGAGTACATGTGCGCCAACAGCTGTTCGATGGATTACCATGGTATTTGGCACACACATTCATGTTCATCACAGGATGAATCATCTATCTGATATTTGTTGAGTGGACCAGTCTGGACTGAAAGTAGTGCACTGACCAACATTGCCGTCCTCGAAGATATGTGGCTAAACCCACAAGCTACAGCTAAAAAGCTTTTCTCATGGCACTGCTCAAAACATCTACTTTTTCTCTGAATGCTTGATGTTTCAAAGCATCATTTGCATGAAACCTAGAGCATTGATTAAGTACAACACTCACAGTACAAGTTGGTCTTCAAATGTTTATTGTTGGAATAACACAAAATCCTTTGTGGTGGTCTTGCCTTTATATATTTGTATATTTTTGTTGTTTTGTAATTGACCTTAAAGAAAAATCCAGAAAAGCACTGAACTTGACTTGACTTCTTTCTCTGTGTACTGGTGCCTCCGTTACTCTGAAGTAGGTCAGGGTGGACAGTTTTATAAGCCTCATCAGTAAGTCTTCTTTAGATGCCCCACAATGTGTTGCTGCTCTGACAGATTTGATTATGCTTATTTATTTACCTTAATGACAAATATTGCAATAGTGAGTTTCAAAAGGTGATGTCGCAAGAGATTCACCCACAGAGTACACCGAACATGTAACATGTATCTACAGTGACATCAGATAAAAGCTCTTTGTTACTCACACTGCTGCACTACATGAGATGGCTTTTAGTCCAGCAATTGCAGTTTTTTTTTTACCCTAATGATGCCAACTGCATTATCTCCATCATGCAGGTCTGTGTGCAAGTCTGTGTGTCTTTTTTTATGCTGTTATTTTCCTTGATAAAATAAATCTGTGTTACTGTGCCACATTCTGATCAAATATACAGTATGTAGGCCAGTATGTCATGTGTTTATTTTCCTCCACAAGGATGAACTACAGGGTAAACCATTTTGAAATTCCATTGGTATTTTTAAAGGGGTCTTTTAAAATTATTTATTTTCTTGAAATATATCTGATTTATTTATCACTGACGATATTATCAAACAGGTTTCACTCTTCTTTGCGCTTATCTGGGATTCAGCAAGTTAATAATTTGATTCAACCCAGATCAAATTCACATCAGATTTGCATTTTATTTATTATCTGTAATATTTTGAAGGCGTGGAAAAAAATAGTTGGTACAAAAAGACAGATTTTTAATTTGAATCCAAGTGCTTTTGTTCTGTTGCCCCCTTTTCAACTATTTCTCTACCTGGCTTGCTCACCGCCATTACACACTTCACATCAGTTTGAGACAGAATGACTGGCCTGAATTGGGCTCTCCACTGTGTAGTGGTCTACATATTCAGTACATACTGTGCTCCTCACAAAATATATGACCCAACCCATCTGCCTTCATCTCTTATTTTTTTTTTCTTTCTCCCTCTGTCTCCAGTGGTGCCTCTCCTGTTGGACTTGTCCTGACTGCCATAGTGGCTGTGGCTTACAAGGTGGCGTTAAGATTTGAGGGGTAAGTCTAGTAAGGGTTACAAATGACAACATATGTAGCGTGAAAGCAAAGTTGTCTCTGACCATCTGTCAGTTTAAAAAATTTAGATTTTCAGCACAAACAGGCACATTTGAAAAAAATAGCAGGGGATCTTAAATCCTTCCGTGTGGAACTCCTAGTTTTGATTGACTCTATTATAATAAACATGTCTATCTTATAATGCTACACAATTGTCTCACCACATACTAGAAGTTTTCACAGGCACTCTTGGTTCCTTGTAACCAAGACTCAACACAACACCTAAATTGGGCCAGGTCCAAAATAGTTCAGTCTAATCAGGTATGAAATGAGTCCCATTCTGTTGCTACAGATCTCAAGTCTGTGTGTCAGTATACCCTTACCCTAAATAATATTTTTCATTTTAAGTGTCATGTATTTGTGTAATATACAGATGTGATTTAATACACGTTCATTTACTTACTGTATATGTATGTATATGCCTTCATTTGCCAGATTACTAATCTGATTGCAATATGTCTTGGTTTACATGTAAATCAAAGGCTTTAGCTACTTTCCATTCAAAGTAGTTGTTTACAGCAGTTCCTCAACAGTTTTCAACTACGTCCTAAATTTTTCATATTGGCCATACATGGCCCAGCAGTAACTATACAGTAAATATCTGTTCTTGTGTAATAAAACGAGAGCTCGTCCATTTTTAATTCTGTTGTGGTCTAGAAACGGTCAGTATTCAGGTTATCTATCTACACAGATTAATTGGGACATGTCACTCAAACACAAGTTAACAAGGACACCCGGGTGAGATAATAAGGCACCTTTCTACTCACGCCCCTCTTCCTCCTCTCTTATGTTTTCCTCTGAAACGTCATCTCCATTCATTACGTCTGCAAAAAGCTGAGCTAGACAAAAAAGAAGGATTAAAAAAGATGTGGTTTGATTTTTCTTTTCCTTTCTTTCCCATATTAAAAGGCCTTTTTTTTCTCCATCCCATCCTCCTGCTTGTCTATGACAATTATGAAATAAGACCTAAAAAACATAAAAAATGAGTGACCTACTTCTGCACATCAGTCCCCACAGACACATGCATACAAAATACACACACCCACAGAAATACACAAACATGCTGTTACTCCATAAGCCAGCCACAAATGAGGCAGAGCTCAGCGTGGAACATTGAGCCCATTGTGTGTGTGTGTGTGTGTGTGTGTGTGTGTGTGTGTGTCTCGTCTTCTTCAGAGCAGGTGAGTACAGGTTTGTATGTATAGGTGTTAACTGTGCAGCTGTCCTTTGCATTACATGTGTGAGGAATCTGTCATATAGCAGCAAAACAGATTATGATTCAAATGTGCAAACCACTGACACACCAATGGACCACAACTGCACATGGCTGTACCGAAATACACCGGAGATCTCCATAATAAAAACACAACAAAATGTTCACCTGAATAGTTGCAAATGGTTTGAAATTGGCTGATTGATTAGGTCATAAGATGACTGACCTACATTTATGACATAAACTGAAGCACAGTCACAGGAAAATTAGTGCTTGCCAGGCCGGATAGCAGTCAGCAAATTACATCTGACGAGCCTGTTTTATCCTTCCTCGTCTGGCCTGGAAGATTATTTTGGTTATTTTATTCACATCTTCTCACCCTGCTACGTAAATCACCTGGTGTTTGCAGGAGTAAGATTCAGCCACCTTTGTCTAGCTGAGTCTTTCAGAGTGGGTTCATTTGCCAACGAGTGAAAAGAAAAAAAGTCACATTAGACGTAAAAAGGAAAAGAGAGTTTAGCCTCGGCAGTGGAAGAAGCATGCTTTTCTGGAAAGGTCACATATTAACACACGCTGTGAATGAGAGCGCAGGTGTACATGTCACTGCCTAGGTTTCCAGCCGCGCAAGATCCCCAATTGTGTCATTTAGCCCGAACCTGTGAATTGAAGGAAAGGCAGCTGCCAGATTTTACCACACACTGTGACTGGGAAAAGATTCATATTCTATATTTATCTTTTGCCTCTGGCAAAGGTTCTGAATGAACTCATTTAGTTAAACTATGCGAGGGTAGCAAGGTGTCCGGTTGGATATTACCACACACAGTGACTTGAATGGGTAAAAGCACCAGTGGGATAGATGCAGGAACCACGCAGTGAATGGAAGCTTTTTTATCTTATAATCCCCCATGATACAAAGTGAGATAGAGTGATGAAAGCTGGCACCAAATAATGATTTTTATACCCTTCCCATCTACAATTAAATCCATAGAATACACTTAAAGGCAGCAAACTGGGCTGCCTCTGGCCATTTTGGTGACTTGGTAGCTTTACATCCTCAAGTGCCTATGTGAGGACTGATCTATTCTTAGCCAATGATATTTATAAGTTATTTACTTCAACTTATGGCAACCTCAAGTCCATGTTTTGTCATCAACAAGACATTGTCTGTAAATGAGTATGTTTGAACACCAGAGTCAGAGTCCCTGTTATCCTGCTTTAATCATATATGGGATGTGAAACCTTCTGGCATTATCCAGATTTCTGGTATGAATGAGACGCCTGGAGAAAGTCCTCGTCATGTTTGCACTGAGTTGACAGAGATGTAGCAAATATCAGTACTGACTTTCAGTTCCAGATGCTTGCTTATGACTCAACCTGAGTCTGTGGCTGTGAGCGGCCAGGGACCCCAGTGCCGGGACATGCAGGGAACACAAACTCATGTGCACCCCAAATGACAGGCACACAGAGAGCCATCAGGATTTGTCCTGGTATGCCTAATGCCAAGTCCAACTATGGTACCTGGGTATGGGAGGGAGGAGAAGGGACCAAAGAGTGCATTTCCATGTTTCTTAGGATGGGTGAGGTAATATGCTGCCATTTGTATGTTTGTAGAATCAATACAACAGTCGGCCAGTTCTTGCATGGGGCCCCTTTAAATCTCCTGCACACTTTTCAAATGTCTGTAGTGATTCAGACTTATGGTGTCCACCTGCTCAAGAAATGTCAGCCCCCTTGGCAACTGTTCAACAAAAGCTCTGATCCCTGTTTGTTATATAGCTCCTGTCAATTATTTTTTCTCTCTCTTTTTTCCAAACTCTCTTAATTACACCTCAGCAACAGAGCTGCTGTTTGCTGATGCAGCTGTTAGTTTGATATGGGGGTCAGTGGTGCAAAACTGTGCGTGCATTCAAGTGCAAAAGAGTGGAGGAACATTCAGAGACACAAGGCATCTTCCTATCATACACACACGTACATATTCAAACTGTCTCACGGTTCAACACACACACGCTCCTGGCACAGAGTGGTACGGCGATCCAGTGTCTGATTTATTGTCCCATTATATGTTTGTTCTGCTGTATTTACAGACCATTCACTGAACAGATCTATCAGGAGAGGAGTCAGCGCAGCAAATAGTGGTTTCCCAGACACTTCCTGCTCCTTGTGTGGCCGAGGATTCCCATCCTGTCATGCGAACAGACAGATGGACTGATCGACGGACAGATTTTTCAACCGTCGTGATCACTAATCCACCTCCAGCGTGGATACAAAGGAAACGCTTACACTGCAGCTCCAAGTGTTCCTCCTCTAATTAAGTTTAAACTCTCCTACTGAATGTTGAGGCTTTTTAAAGTATTTCTGATAAAGTGTGTCACATGTGGATAATGTATTAGGCTAAGTCGAGTTAGGTTAAAGGATTAGTTTGATATTTTAGACATGACAATATTGATATCACTCTTATATCTGAAAGGGGAAGCTGACCAATTTTAGGCACCAAAGTCTGTTCTACTGTACTATGTGAAATATGTTGCCTTTTGTGTCTCCAGACAGAGCTGTTTGAAACTCCTTTCCTGGTGTATTACTATGTGAACACAAACAGTATTTTGACCTACAGACACTGTTATTTTTGACATGTAGTGGTGTAAATGTCTCCATTTAAAGGTATCGGCAAGATGTTAGCAAAGACTGAAAGCACAGAGAAGCAGCTAATATTTTGTTTTTCACAAGTTCATCACTGCCACAAGTTCTCAATTGATTACGAACGCTGCAACATATATATATTCATCACAAGTCCTCCTACCTAAACAACCATATGGGTCTTTTTTTTTGTTTTTTTCAACATCCTGACACAACCCTGAAGTAGTGCCCCTACAGGCAGCATGCCTACCTGACCTCGGTTGTCATGGTTACCACAATAAATACACGAGTGTAACAGGACCGTGATGGTCCTGGCTTGGTTAGGTTTAGGGTAAGATCGTGATTTGGGTTAAAATATGTACTTCCTCAATATTAGACAATCTTTGTTGTCGTGGTTACAATGATAAAATGTGGTTAACTTTGTAAAACGCTCATGGATAATAGAAACAACATAAACTGCTGGTTTCACATGGGAGTCGAGCAGCGCTCTCCTGTGTCATGTTCCTGTGTTTTGTTGACCCATCCTCCTCCTGACGTGGACTTTGTCTCTCTTTATACTACGTCGCCACACTTTCCTCTCTCCTCTTGTCATAATTACTACGACCACTAGATGTCGCCTAGCAACAAAACGTAACGATGGGTCATTGTAACCTCTGCACAAATGACCTATGGGCTGTTTTTTGGGGGGGTTTTTACAGGACGACAGTGTCATTCTGTATAGTGACATCATCCTGGATTAAGTGGTGTAAGAATTTCATAGTGTCCTTCAAAGCAAAACAACAACAATAAAAAGAATTGAGGATGATGAAGGCCTCTTCTGTAGCAGCTCCATTCAGAGTAAAATTATAATTCTGTTTTTATTCTACAAAACCAACCTTCAACACTAATAGCCTTCAACACTGCCGTTGCTGTTGTAACCACAGATTTCTTGTAATACACTATTATTCATTGTTAGACACTGTTTTTAATGTTATATTGTATATGACATGAATCCATTTAAAGTTATACCAGCTCTGGTTTTATACTGTACCTATGCAAACCATTCCAAACTGAATAACACACACTGTTTGGTGATGTACTGTACATTGATGTGTTATTTTTTTTTATGTAATAAAAGAATGAGCCACGGGGTAAAGCACTTGTTCTTTGTGTCAGGAAATCAAGGCAACTAATGGAAGCACTTTCAGGCAGCACTTTGCATATCTGCCTCTTAGATGCAGATGTGTGGGAAGGCATAGTGCATGAATATTTTTCCTCTGAATGAGTCAGGAGAATTAGGAGTTTTACTTCTGTGAATGCAGCAAGCAGTAATGAACTGTAACAACCAGTCACTAATGCATCTCTCCTTATAATCCATTTGATTATTGGGGGGGGGGGGGCAATCCTACTTGACGTTATGACATACATTGACACCTACAAACTCCACACAGAAGACGGGTTCAAACCCAGAACGATCTTGCTGTGAGGTAACGGTGCTAACCCCTGCACCACGTTTGACTTCATCCAGTGAGGTTTAAATCCACCCATACAGGTGTTACGTACTGATGGCAATATCAGTCTGTCAGTCCACCACTTTGGTCCAGACTGAAATATCTCAACAACTAACATCATGGGTTACCATGACATTTTGTAAAGATATTCATGATCCCCAGAGGATGTGTCCTACACTGACTTTGATGATCCCCTGACTTTTCCTCTAGTGCCACCCTGAGGTTAACGTTTCTGTTTTTTAGTGCCTGTGGCCTAAAAAGGAAAAAGGATGAGACAAAATCTAGCACACATTTCCTGTTGCAGTTATGACAGTTTTGAAAAAATTCAAATATCAAGAGAGGACCAAAAATTAAAATAATGATTTTTTTTTTTTTTTTTACCAAAACACACACACACAAAAAAGACTGTGTACAGTTTGTGATCAGCCTAGTCAATATTTCATTACCCACACCGGAACTGTGACACCAGGAACTCTTTCTGGGTTGAGTGCAGGGTAATTTTGTTTAAAAGAGGGCTAATGTGACAGTGCCTTATGAAAATAAGAGAAAAATGCAGCGAACTTTATGTAACAGTTTCTGTTGTTACTGACTGTCTATGGAGCACAACAGTGGTTTTAAGAGGTCACTACCAAACACTATCAGCACCGACATTATGAAGGCATTCTCACCAGAATACAGAATACCAACAAAGAAATGAAATATGGAAATGATGAAAAAGCTAAAGTAATAACGTCACACTTGCTTGGAAATATTTCTCTACATTTTTAAGACATTGAATGTAACATGAAACGTTCTCTGTCACTTTTCTTTCCAATGTAAAGAAGTAGACTTGGCTTTCTTTGCACTGATCATATAAATCGAAGCCTGGGTGAGCAACAAGAGCAGCAATTCCAGTGAGTGGTTTCGAAAAACTCCTTTGTCCTGCAGCGAGCAGTTATTAGCATCAGAAATGAGACAAAGGTCTGAAACACTTCTCATACCTGATTGATTTCAGAGACAAACGGCTGAATAGTACTAGAAGACCGCTCTGCAGCATTTACATGAGAAACTGCCAAGATGAATTCATGTCCCTAATCTCTCCACTCAAAGCCTTTGTGCACCCAACATAAAATTATAGAGTGTATCATGAATGTATCATGCAATGATAATGATGAGAGAGAAACAAGAGGACACGAGAACTTCACAGTTGGGGTAAAAAAGAAAAACATATTACAAACCACTGGACTTTCTCACAGCCCCGAGATCAGTCCTGCAAGTTCATCAGAGGGATTTTGTTTTAACATCTTCCAAGTAATTCTCCCGTGCATCCCCACTGTAAACTAACTGAACCCATACAGTCATCTCTCTCCACAAGCCACAAGACCACAAGCTTATCACGTCTCTTCCTGTTTATATTACAAGGAGAGAGTTTTGGTGTCTGCTCACAAATCCTTCAAAACTTAACTTTAAACAACTGCACAAAAAACGTGTTGTATAACAAATTCTTTGCAAGCAGCACTGTGAGAAGGACGAAATATAAATCTTACAGATTTTACAGAGATTTATTTTTTTGTTTCAGTTGTATTGTTTTTGGACTCAAAACTGTCACCAAGCAACAACTACCGTGATCACATTTTATTCCATCTGTTACTATCATTCTTTACAATCAAACCATGGTTTATGAACCATGCTTGGTTCATAAACACCAACTGCAGCGTACAGAAGTAGAAGTTATAAATCACACATTGAATCAGGCTGAATTTCTCTTTATAAAATAATTAAGTTGCTTTTTGTTTACAGCAGTTGAAGTGTAAGAATTGGACTGGTAATCTCCATAGGACAGATGCTGAAGCATGTCTCATCACTTACATTATATTGCTCTGAATATACAGTGTTTTTATCCCCTATAGAGGCATTTCAGATTGTCGGATAATTTTAATTGAGGTAACTTTTCAGTATGTGCAGAGGAAGCGTATTCACAGCACTGTTCTCTCAAGCAATCACATATAGTAAGACAAAAAGTAGTTACGAACAAAGACGTCATAGTATAGTAAGGCATAAAAAGTCATAAAAACATCAGAAATTGTACATGTGACTCTTAAACACATTACCAGTAATGTGTTGTAATGTCTACAGATGTGACTGCATGACCACCTGTAGAGATGGACAGCTGTGACTTTTAATGTGTTTGAATGAACAGCACAGGTGCATTTGCATGTTGATTTAATGTGGATGTGCTCTCGCTCCAATCAGGCTATACAGTCCAGTCATGCAGCAGGCTGATTGAAAGCAGGTGTAAAGGACAGTCTCTATTTTTTAAACATTTCATGCCACTTTTTATCCTGACTTCACAAACCAAACTTCTACTATGTCTCTCACTTTGTCTTTTATGAGCTGCCTGGTAAAAATCGTATTTGCTCACTGTCGGCAACATTTGTTTTTCCACTCTCCTCCTGCACTTCCTGTTCCAGTGCTGTACTACTGTACACCAGACCTTCCCTGCTGAGTCATTATCTATGAGCCAGCCAAACCATGACTACTGTCTTCACGTGGGGGTGGGGGGAGGGACTGCTCAGTCAAGACATTGGTGATTTTTCTTTTTGCCTCCCCCCGCAACATTGACGCCTCTTCGTTGCATCTTTTTGTTTCAGATCTGTAGACATTTTGTGTTATCATGTTTTTATGCATGGTCCATGCATTTTCTCTGTCTGCCAATGGGGTTACATTAGGTAACACACCGGTGAAATCGGATATTCTCACACACACACACACACACACACTGTGTGCTGCCCCAAGTTCACAGAGGCTTTGACTGACTCTGTGACGCACACTCTGTAGTTTGTTAACCTGTCCCAACACTAACATGGACAATACGTTTACTGATTATCCCAGATTTGAAAGCCTCAGGGTCCAGTCACACTTAACAGAGGAGTTTTCTTTGATAAGAAAAGGAATGAGAAGCATTTATCTGTTTGCTGCTTGGTTTATTTAGGATCACACAGACCGCCTAGTCAGTTCACTTAGATGTTTTTTTGACAATGTTTAGTTAAACTGTTATCTTACCGTAAGAAGCTCTTTTTTGTTTTTTAAATCTTTGCAGGGATGATTCATCCTTCTGCTTAAGGTTCTGTGATGGTTAAGTGGCACAAAAAAGAGAAAAACTTCTGATTATTTACTTAAGTAAAAATAGTAATGTCACAGAGTAAAAACTAATAAAATCCTGAACTCAAAATTTTACTCGTGAAAGTATCAGCAGCAGTATTTCATGTATCAAAAGTAAAAGTGCTCACAATGCAGAACTGCCCCAGTCAGTGTTTTATATCTATATATATATATATTATATTATATTATATTATAAATATATCATATCATTGGATCATTTTTGACTTTACTCTTATGTGGGAGGGGTGGGTGGCCTTTTACAGGTCTGTGCCCAGGGGCACTTGTAGAGTACAAGTACCTCAAAACTGTGCTTAAGTATAGTGCTTGAGTTGAATTGCAACACTGTATGTTTAAGAATCCAAGCAAATCATTTGCCACATTTCAGACTGGTTGGGCATATCAGTAAGTCAAATGCAGCATGATACTTCAGGCTGATCAGCATCAGCTGCTTCCCCTTCACTGGCCATTTGACTCATGTCCAATTGCATTGAGGAAAAGAAATTCATGCATGACGAGGTCCATCTGACTGAAAGTTGCTTTGTGTTATCCTGAGCTACAGTGATTGAATAACAGCATAAAAGCATCTGCATTGTCAAAAATCCTGTTTGGAATGAAAGAAACTCACTGCAGTGATGATGACTATTCATTAAGCTGTTACTTTGTTAGACATTCTGTTTAAACCAGTCAACATTTATTAATTATCATAAGAGAACGTGATTCTACTGGTTTATGAAAATATGTCTTTTTATTAGACACAAAGTAGGTCTCTTGTACCTGTGGAGATCCTGCAGAGAAGAAGACTCTTTTTATTTCACATTAATCAGTGCACAACAATCAGCAATCACCAGTAGATGAGCCCACAACCACCCC